TCACAAAGTGATTTTAAATCCTCTGATAGAAGCTATCTATTATAATTGCACCAAGTACTGTTATTAATGTCTCCAGCCTCTCCATTCTGTTTCTGCTCAAGCCATGCCCAAGAACAATTAGCTGTTTGTTTGACCTGCATTATAACATCATCTCTCCGTTATGATAACAGTGGAGTGACTTAGAACAACACATAATCTTCAGATTTAATGGGGCAGAAGACTGCAAAGGGCCAAACCCATCTTGATGAAATGCCCTCAAGTCAACAACTTTATGCACAGGTGGACGTGGCACAGTGTGGTTTCTGTGGCTCTGTCTGAATGCTACACAGAAATCCAGACTGATACCAAGGCCACTGCAGCAGATTAGTCAGAAACTGCTGTTGAACATAGGAAATACTGGGGGGAACTCAGCAGCTCAGTCTCTGCTGTCTTTAGGGGAGACAAAATTCTTTTACCCCATCTGTTGGTGTGCATGCAAATGAGAACCATTCCCTGTTCCTAAAACTCCTTGTGTGTTCACCATTAATGTTACCAGGGCAGGGGCTGTTGCTTTGATAAGGTGATCGGGAGCTGACTGTGACAGGGACATCTCAGTGGATGGACACAACACCAAGGACATCACAGAGCAGAATTCTCTGAGTGGAACTGCTGGGATGGCACCCTGTGAATGAAACTGCTTCTTGCCTTATATAGATTGTGTTTGTAGACAATAACCTGGAAATACATTGCATTCTGAGAGCTGAAGTCTAAAAATGCATATATTGGTCCAACAAATAGCATCACATTATCAGTTTTATTTTTCTGCTTCTATTGAATGCAGAACACGTGCTGCTAAGAAACAAAAAGGACATGCATTTATTTTCAGGCATAGGACTTTGCAACCACTTGGGAAGAATATTCTTGATTGAGAACCAAAACATTCCATGATGCTTAACAAACCTGCAAATTGAAAAATCAACATCTGCCCTGTGTAGCAACATAGCAGGAGAAAGACCTGAAAAATTTCAAATACTCCTTAAATTATGTTTCAGTGCATTTATAAAATTACTATTTTCTGAATTAAGGCTCAGGCTGGTTTTATATGGCAGCATCTGTTGTGTGGATGGACAAAATCCCCTCCTGCACTTACTACAGGATGGTCCCAGGAACATGGAGCTATGTCTCCCTGAACGCTCCCACAATGATATCTTAAAACAAATGGGATGCATCCTTAAATCACTGAGGATGACCTCAGCTGTCCAAACCCCACAGCTCTGCACTCACAGCTCCCCTTCCTGATGGAATGTAGGAGTTTTCACCGGAGCAGCCGATGGAGGCGAGCGGAGCAGAGTCCCTGTTCAGACAGAGGAAGGCACTGCTCTAAAGGAAACACAGAAACCTGTGATTATGCACTTACTGCAGTGCTGCCTGCCTGCTGAACGGCTGGGAATTTTTTTTGCTGTTTCCCTTATTTACATATCACAGCCATGTCTTTATAAAGTTACTTTAATAATTTATTAGATTGATCTTTTCAGAAATCTGTCCAGGCTAGGTGTCATTAGGAAAAGTTATTTCAACTTCTTTAAAGGTTTGTGCCCGGGTAGGGCATTTACCTGCCACACTGCTGATATTCTAAAAATACCTCCATGTCCATACTATTATCCATTCTTCACGTCCAATTGCTCTGTTATGGTAATAGTCAGAAGCACACCATGTAGTAATTACTTACAGCTGACTTAAGAAAAGAATATTCAACTCCCCCACTGTTCCACTAGAAGGTCTTTATGCGCTATTAACTCATTCCTGTTTATTAATACTCTACTGGTAATTCTGGCTGCTGCTTTTTAGGTTTGTAATAGGAGGACTATTAAACAGCAATTATTGACCATATGGGTTAGTGGATATTTGTGGTGGTTGTTGGGTGGTTGGCTTTTTGTGGGCTTTTTATGTTTTTAGGTTGTTTTTAAGGAGCCACATCACAATATAGTGGTGCAACTTTACATCTGCCTGGGATTAACAACTTTGGCAGTGTTCCCCACCTAGAAAATGCAAATTCCATATTTCAGAAATATCTGAAGCTGTGAAAATACAGAGCAATTTAAAAAACATGAAAACACTGTGCCAGACAAAGTGAAAATATTTTTTTTCTTTTCTCCAGCAGTGGGGATAGGGTTTGAGTTATTTTCTTTGGGGTTTTGGGGGGTTTTTTTTGGTCTTTCTGTTTCTTGTTCTTTGACTTTTTTTTTTTCATTTTTTTAGTTATTGTCCTAGAATTTGGTCAAGTGTAGATTTCAAACTAATCAAACTTCTTCTAGAAAAGTGTGAATGATAGCACTTTTAAGAACTAGAAATTTGCTTTCCTCGGTAAGCTTGCCTAGTGGGAAGATTGAGGAGAGACAAAATTACAGCAATTATCTTTCAAATAGCTGGGCTGAAAAAATGGTGTCTTCCCCCCTTTTCCTCTCCTGTCTTTTTTTTCCCTTTTTTTTTTTGTAATAATTTTAAAATCCAACTGCAGTTCCTGCCTTTGCCAGCAGCAATAGCTGTCAGTCACTGCACTGATGATTCCATTTCCCACTGCTCTGCACTGGGAAGGCCAAACCAGCCACAGTTTTGGCACTCACTCTCGTTGTGGTGAGAAAATAAAAGACTTGAGCAGGGAAAAAATATGTAGCAGCAGTGAGAAAAGGTAAACATTAATGTGGGATGTGGTGTAGGAGAAAAGGGATTTGGGAGGGGAGTTGATTTTAATGCAGAAGTACTGGGCTGTGAGCAAATGTTTTGCAAAATATATTCTCATGTCTCAATTCTTTTTGGGCTTGTCCCTAACACCATCGAAGAAGAGTCACACTTGGAAAACCAATTACTTGTATTTGCCACTGACATGGCTTTTTTCTAGAATTTTCTTAATCCCTTAATACTCTTCTTACACTTTCTTAGTGCTCCTACTTGTGTGTGTTTGACTTGGATTATGAGTCTCAGCTGTGTCAGTGTGGTCCTCTGAGCTGCTGACCAGTAACAGCTCCATTTAGACATAATTGTGGGCACAGTTGCTTCTGGGGATTGTTGCGTAGTTGAAAAATCTCTGCAATACTAAAATAAGTCAAAAATAATAATAAAGTCAAAATAAAAAATAATTCATTTGGAATTTGAAATCTACTGCTTTATCACTAAACACTATTTTTGTCTTCCTTTATTTCTTTTTTTTCTCCTTGTCTTTAACACTGAAATTCTTTCTTGGACTAGCAAAACAAATTCTTGTGTGATATGCACACCAAAAATCATTCCCTCCTCCAACAATTATTGCTTGGAACATGTATATTTTCTTTAGAAAAGCTGGTGCACTCCTGTGCTTTTAGGTCCTGAATGTTTTAGTGAGGCTTTTTTCCGAGGTGGCGAAGCTGAGAGAGAAAAAACTGAAGGGATGTGTTCAGTAGAGAAGGATGGGACTGCTGGAAGGTAGGAAGTCCTTGCTCACAGGCTTTTACCCCTGCCTTGCCTGGAATGGCTGCACAGCATTGGCAGGAATCTGCTGAGGGACATTAGACAAGGGGGCTGAAGGTATAAAAAGGTGACATTGATTTTATTGCTCAGAAATATGGGCCAGTTAATTTTCTTTATGTGCCTGGCATCTTGGCCATGCTGCGGGATTTTTTTTTTTTTTTGACTGGTGTAGTTTGTTATTTAAAATTGCTGTTGAGGTGGAGGTGTCATTTCAAGCTTGGAATAAAGGATAACTGGGAATCCTGAGTGAGGTGGCCCTAGGTGTCCAGCAGGATTTCAGTGGCTTGACTCTCTCATCTCCAGCTCAAACCTGCCCTGAAATAATTATATATTAATAAGAGAATGTTCCAAAATTTTATCCTTATACTGTAAAACTGCAGGTGATAACTGGCTCTGCTGCTGGTGGGTAGCTTAGGCTGGGAAATGAGTAGAGCATGATATTCCTTGAGAAACTGGAGTGGAGGAGCAACCCCTGACCATGCTCAAAGAAAAATGTTGTGCAAGTGATTCAGCTCTTCCCTCTCTTGCAGGCGAGAGATTAGAGGTGCACCACTTTGTCAGTTCATCTCCTTAACTCATCATATATTATTTATTACAAGGATTTGGTTTCCTAAGCCTGTAGTCTTCTTTTCTCTTAAGATACCACTGACTATTTGATCTTGAGGGCTTATTTTTTATGATGATGGTGATTACAATTATTATTATGTACAGGTATGTAGGGAGGGAAGGATTTTGAGCAACAGCAAAACCCAACCTTTTAAACATATGAACTGTCAGTGTTTTTTGTCTTGTTTTAGCACTTTTTGCACCTCATGCTAATGGTGTGATTGTGGTTGGTTTAAATACATCTGGGGTCCCCTGTAGCCTTGATTGCAGGGGTTTCCTGACTCTGCTGTAATTCTGTGCATGGAGGTTCTTAACTAAACTGGCTTAGACACCTTGAATTCATTTGCAGGATTTGAAAGATAAAAGAAAATAATTTTTAAAAGTCTTTATACCCATGAGCCACATTTAATTTAAAAAAGTAAAATTTGTGATGGCCAGTGTTTCTTGTTTGTTTGTTTTTTAGTTTTATGCCAATCCACCCCCAAAACATATAGACTAATGACAATGTTAAGATTTAACGTCGTTCAAAACAGCCAAAGTATTTTCACAGAGAGCAGGTGCATTCTTGGCATAGCTGGTGTTATAAGGTGGATTCTTCCATTTGACAAACGTTCAGAAGAAGCCTTTCATTTAAAAATAATGGAAGTCTTGTAGAATAATTACTTGTATGGGCTAAAATAAAATTAAAAAATAAACTAGGCAGGAATAAACTTGCTCATGTGGTTGGCAAACTGAGAGCAAAACTGTCATGGCTTTGTTCAGTTGCTAAAGGGATGATCTGAAAATGTTTGATTAGAGAACTGGACTGTCTGCCCACATGAGCCAGACATAAGAAGTTATAAAAAATACCAAATGAAGGTGTAGCAATGTGACACATCCCTGTTTTTCCCTCTCCTTGCCCCTCTCTCCAGGCAGCTGACGAGAAGAGGGAAAGAGCAGATCATGGCACCAAATCCTGCCCCGGAGCTGCGCAGGGCTCAAGGAGTGGCCCCGTGTGGAGAAGCAGATGGAGCTCTGCAAACTGTAAGTGCCTGCTCCGGTACATTCCTTCACAAACAAAGCCCCATGTCTGTGGTAACTGCATTTTTGGGCAAATCCCTTCCTAAATGTTGTTTTGAGATCAGAGAGAAATATGTGCTTTGTAACTGGCTTTGGTCATTGGGGATCTCCCCTTCCTCCCCCGGCTGCCATCGCACCCTTTTGTCCTTCCCCGCGCTGACTGAAACGTTTTGGGTTTGTTCTTTATACGTTTGGATAAATCTTTTGTAATGGATTTTTGGGTTTTGCAGCTTAACGATATCAAATCCTTCCTAAGATTTATTGTCAGTCTCACTTGACCTGGGGATCAGAACTTAGAACGGTTGATGGAATTTGTTGCAGAATCAGGGAATGTTGTGAAAGTTGCTATTTTTGGTTTCTGTTTTGCTGTATCTGGAGACCACAGATTTAAAAAAATTGAAATGATAAATAATGTTTTCTTGGGTGTTCAAAACATGATGAGTGTGGGTGTTTCATGAACTTTGGCTTCTGGACAAGCTGATTTGTACTATTTCTGATAAAGAGATGCAAGACATCCAAGGTTTTTAGCTTTTAGAATTTTAGAATTCCTTAAAAAAAAAACCCACTGCCACCTCGCAGTGAAGGTTATAGACTGCCAGAGTGAGAATTTCAGCTCCTGGTAATCAGTTTGCTTTTCACAGACCTCGCTGAAAGGTTCACAGCCCCTTTCCAGCCTTGCTGGAGACACTTCTCTGTATAAGCAAAGAAGGAAAATGTGTTGGAGCTGGTGTAGACAAAATATTTATAGGAGATAGGACTGGTGTTGGGCCAGGTCTACTTTGCAGAATACAGAGTGGGTTTGTTGCCTTCCTTCTGCAAAGCTTTGAGGCTGTCCCACCAGTCCAGCTGGGTGGAAGAGGAGGCCCCATGGCTGTGGGAGGAGGAGGAGCAGTATCATAAATGGCATTTCATCCAAAGGGGGCCCGAAAGAAATTAAGTTTAGCAAAGGAAACAAGTTTCATCAGTTAAGGCAATAAAGCACAGTCCTGGAGCAAGTCAATAATGCTCAATTGACAGCCAGTCAATATTTGTACTGGATTAACTTTTCAGGGAATGTGGAGATTTCGGGGGGTTTTATGTAAACACTGTAAATAGGCTGGGACACTAAAGTAGGGTTACAAATACCGCGTGTCAGATTAGATTAGGATCACTTCCCAGGAGCAGGATTTCTCCTACCACGAAAGAGACATTTATATCTTGTGAAATGAACACAGATACAGATTTTTTTGTTTGTCAAATATATTCCAAAATGCAGCTGGGCAGATCTCATGGCAATGCTGCTCAGAACACTTCAAAGGGCAGCCTCTGTCTGAGGTCAGGCTCGCTCACCTTCCGCCTGTGCTGTGCCCAAGCTGTGCCAGGTGAAGCTGCAGTTTAGGTGGCAATGAGGCTCCAACTCAATTAACAGGAATGCTGTACAAATTAATTTCAGTTTTGAGCTTTGTATGATGTGATGAGCTATTAAGAAATATTCAGTATTTGTCATTCTGCTCCTTGCTGAAGCATTGGGCTGAGACATGATGAAAATGTGCTGGTTCTGACATCTGTAACACAGGGTTTAGTCTCTACAAGTTTTCTTTACAATGCTTTGCAGTGGCATTCCTGGCATCCATTTCTAACCAATGAAAAATCCATTTACCTTTTCCAAAGCTGGAAGCAAAGTGGAGAAACATTTTGAGAAGAAATCAGTAATTTACAGTGCCTTTTTTTGAGATGTTGCCCTCAGGTTTCCTGACTTGCTTTCTTATTAGAAGGATCTCAAATCACTGCAAGATTCCCAGTTCTCTAGAAATAATTGAGGGTGATTTGGCCTGTCCTGCCTGTCCCCATGCATGGAAATGAGGGCAAGCCGAAGCTGGCACTGCCCAGATGGGCAAAACAGCCCAAGTAAATTTGCTTTTCTGTGTATGAAACACGTGCATGGTTCTAGTGGAGTCCATGCAGGTAACACATCACTAGGAATCCCTCTTGCTGGAAAGTAGATTACTGCATTTTATTGTTCTTTCTTTTATTTCTCCTGTCCTTTTTTTCCCCTTAGAAAAGGTAATTAGGCCATAAACAGAGGTCTGACAACTAATTTTATCTGCAGCAAAATTAATGTCGTAAGCAACAGATAATTTCAGCAGAGCAAAATTAAAAAAGATATATATTAATGACATTTTAAAAACAGAAAATCTAATTTTTTGCCTTCTGAACTTTTTGTACCTGGCTCTTTTGATATGTGTGGAGATGCTCACTCATTTAGGGAACAAATGTTTTGCCTCTGTACTGTTCCTGCCTCAGCACCAGGCCTTGCTGGTGTCGGCCTGTGGTACGAAGTTGCTTTTAATTTCCTCTCTCTTGTTCTCTGGTTCCTTTCAAAGCAGAAATGATCTGAGGGAAAAGACATTGCTTTTCTTACCTCTAAATTCTCATTGACATTAATAGGAGGCAGGTGGCCAAGTCCCTGCGTACAGCTTTGAAAATTTAAGGTTTAACTTTTTTTTTTTTTTACCTTGGGCAGATTCTTATACTGTTGGAGTTGTGAATCCTCAGAAAAAAATATTAAATATGCAACCATACCATGTCAGCAGTGCCTAGAGAGTTTATCTACAAAATTATCGCCTACCTTCCAAATCTATAACCCTAAAATATTGATTGGTTAAAAGGTAGTGGATAAAGATTAACACAGCACAGCAGCAGATTACCCTAATCAAATAAAAAGACTATTAACAGAGCTGCTCACAGTTCTGAAGATGTTGGTTTGAAATACAGATGTCTTAACCAAAGTGCTATGTCTCATTTTCTGAATGCATTTTTGAATGCATTTAAATAAATTACCAAATAGAAAGAAAGCAGAGAAAAACTCTGCATGCTCCAGACAGTAAATTTGCATTTATAATAAAATTATTTCATGCCTTTCAGTAAGTAGTTGGAACTTCTAAAGATCTATTCCATTGGATAGTATGAAGTCAAGCAGTGGAGTCTCAGCCTAGAAGGCTCTATAGGCACATGTGTGATTTTAAACCTGTTAGGGTAATTTGGAGCTCTAGGATCCTTTGGAAAACCATCTCTGCTTCAGACCAGCACGGGTTCAGGTGGCTTGGAATTTGTCACAAACATTTTATTTAGCTTATTAGTGTTCCATAGGAGTAAGCTACCGGGAATACCACTTGGAAAAGAGCAGCATTTGTCACTAATGCTTTTAGTGTACACTGGGAATTTTTATCCAGCCAAAGGCTGAGCTGTGTTTTGTCCCCTTGGAAGAATTTCCCATTGAGTGACGGCTGAGCAGGGATTGAGCTAATAACCCATGCCCTGGGTTATTGGAGGCACAGAGACAGAAAGAGAAAATAGGGTGGGTAATGTATTAATTTTCATCAGTTATGGACAATACTATTAAATTACTGACTCTTGTTGAAATAATGTGTCACCGATTAATAATGTCACTTCAGCTTCCCAAACTTTCCTACCTAAAAATTTTAATTCAGAAAGAAAAGATGTGAAAATGTGTGAGAGAGGTTTTGGCGCTCTAACTCATAGGTATGGAGGTCTTTTGTTTTTGTTTGAAATCACACCTAATTTTAAGTCGCTGTGTAAATGAGGTTTTAAAAGTTTTTAACAGTGATGTGGATAAATTTGGAATTAAAATTGAGATCTGAAATGTTGTGTTGCTCCACTTTTAAAAATAAGTTCCCTCCTCATTTGCAATTAAAATGCCTAGAATCTGCATAAAATGTGTGAAATTAGAGATAATTGAAATACAGTAGCTATAAATATGTCTACTCCATTTGAAAAATAAATAAAATGTCCACTAAAAGTGTGCGAAAGCCGTACCCCCTTCTCTTGTTTCTCACATTTGGATCTCTGGCGTTTTTCACACTTTTATAGCTAATTTTTATTGCAAAACAATATGTTACATTTGTAGCCGTTGTGGGAATGCAGAATAGCCCCTGGCAGCTCTGTAAAAAATGGAATGTTGGGAACACATTTAGAAGAATATAGCTTTCAATTTCATCCCCAGCATTGGTGTCGTGGAATCATATTAAGTGTGATCTAACAAAAACAAAAGGGAAAAAAAAAAAAAGAAAAACAAACGTTACAGAAAATAATTGAAATCAGCTATTATTTAAAGTATGTTCATTTCCCCAGTTTGGATGTTTTCATAGTGTAAGTTGTTGTGATGTAGTGGTTTTCCAGGAGTGAAACCCCAAACCCAGGGTGGTGCTGTTCCCTGGAATGTCCTGAGCTGCTCCAGGGGTGAGAAGCCACGGCTTGGTTCCACAATTGGTCAGTGGGCTGTGGGCAGGGATCCTGGAGGAGCTCCCATTATATCCCAATCTCCATTATCAATTATTGCTTATTAGCCTGGGCTCTGGGGAGTGTCTGCCACTAGAGTGGAGCAGCATCTCACATGCAAATTGTAAAGAAGCTTCTCTAACTTCAGTCTTGAAACTGAGAAAAATATTATTCCTATAACATCCTGTGCATCCTTAGTGAAATTGCACTGTGCTGTCCTATAATTTCCAATGCTGTGTCGTGTTTCAGTTCCTGGGGAACACCAATCAACTCCCAAAGAGCTGCTTTGGTGGGGAAATGAGCAGCTTTTCAACTGCTCTGTGTCCAGCACAAGCATACACAGCAATTTGCTGTAATTCACACAAAACTGAATTGAAAGGCCTGGGTGAGGGTTACTGCCCTGGCTCCTCAGTGCTCCCCATCCTGGGATGTTATTTCTGGAAGCCCTGCAAGGCGTGCCTTGCACAGGCAATTATGCCAAAACAAAAGAGTTTCCATGCAGGTATTATCCTGGGGGTAGCAGGAATTCAGCAGGTTTTAATCTTGGTGGCTCCTTCAGTAGTTCTCTTCCCAGCTACAGTGAGTATCACTAGGGACTTTGTTGCACCCTGGCTTGGGAATGTCATATTTTTTTTCCCTACTTTCCTCTTCCCCCCACTCCACCCCAGTGAATTTATCAATAAATC